AACACACAAGGATGTCCCCTGGTGTCCACACACCTGCGTACCTGCACAGAAGAACACACAAGTACACACACACACATACACACACACAGGCACATGCACACACGCACGCACTTGTGCACACATTAAACAAATGAAGCATGGCCTGAATTAACTACTCTCCTGGCTTCTGATTTTTAATACTTTTTGTCCTGGTTTTTAACTTTATAAATTGAATTGTGTTATGTACTCATTTGGGTTCATTTTATTTTCTGTAAAGTATGTATAATTATAACTTAGTAGAATGATGGTAGACAATTGCTTAGTGTTATTATGAATGGCTCTACACACGTCTCTTCATGAGCATTGTGTACATTTCTTTTAGCTACTACTTGGACTAGGATTTCTGAGTCTTAGGCTTATATGTATTTTCAGATTTAATAGAGAATGACAACTTTCTAATTGTCTAATTTGGCAGTCTCACATCCCCTAGTATTTGGTTCTGTCTCCTCATTTTAGTTAATGCATATAAGCTTAAAATAGAATAGAACAGAAGGATTTATTCAGGTGTTGAGAATTTAAACCAGAACCTACTTTACCATTAAGCCACATCCTAAAGAGAAAAGATTTTATAAAAACTGCCAAGTTACTGCTCTAAACCGTACTGTCTAGGAGTGATCACTTGTAGCTATTTCTCTTTTTAACATCTGCTAAATGGTGTAATTCTAGCTTCAGTAATGCCACAGCTATTTTTGATTCAACTGTAATGTTCTTTACTGTTTAACCTCTTAAGATAGATGATATAATGTATACCACTTCTTACCATCCCTCTGCCTTTTTCCAGTATAAATATTACTGTTTTAAATTGATGACATCTATAGTCTGTTAACTCTCACAAGCAGTTTTTTTCTATTATTTTCATTTCCATGCTGGATGGATCATGTTTTCCTGTTTGTTTGAATATTTTGTAATTTTTTAAGTAAAAACTAGAAGTTTCAGGTAGTATGTTTTAGGAGTTCATGAGTACTGGGCTTTCCCACCCCAGTGCTTGTAACTGCTTTGTTTGTTTTTGAGACAGTATTTTTAATGGCGTTTTCACACGTGCTCGACTTTGGTTTACCCTCCCCCAGCTCCTTGTACTACTGCACACCTCAGTAAACTCACCTTTCTTGTTACCACATGTGATCTTTGAAACAGGATCTTATCGTGTAGCCCAGGCTAACCTTCAACTTAAGATGTGTGCTGTGTTTGTCGGGGTGCATCAGCATGCCTGGTTGTTTGCCCGTTTTTCCCTGTTACTGTCTAGAGTGTTGTAGTACAGTGTGTGGCTCCTTTCCAGGCTAAGCCTCTGGTCTTGAGTCTGTTGTTTATGACAGTTCTGCCAAGTGTAGATTGTTGTTCTTCAGCCTATCAAATCAGTGTGGCTCCCTCGGCGTAGGCTCTTTATATTTGTGTGATCCCAGGAGAGATGCTCCCAGCTCAGGAGACTCTGTAGTCCTAGGGGCTGTATGTTCCCTGAACTCTTGAATCTTCAGCAAGTTTCTATAGTCTATTGTACACCAAATTAGCTTTGCTAGGAAGAGATTTGTAGAGAGATTTTCATGCTCTTTCCTTCTCCTCTCAGTACAGTATCTGACAAGACTCTGAAAGTGGTGGTGAAAAGGAAGCTTCTCTCTGGGTGAACCCCAGCTTCAGGAACTGAGCTCTGGGTTGCCCCAGACAGGCTTATGTTGTGCCCAAAGTAGACATCTCATTCCACAAATCAAAGGACAGGGTCGTCACCCTCTACTGCACTGATGAGAACTTAGCCTTGTAACAGGCAGCTGGGGAATTGACAAGAATACTGATCAATCTTTCCCTTCTAGAGACAAAGCCCTTCACAGTCTAGAGCAGAGTCTGTCTCCCTGGGCTTATTAAGCAAGAAAGGGAGCCATCTTGGTTCAAATGTCAGACTTGACTTTCTTGCTAAGTTTTTCTAGAATTTTTGAATAGATGTTCCTTCATTTACTATTTGTCCTTAGGACCATTTCAGAGACTGTGTTTTGTTTTTAATTTCCTTTAAAATATTTTTTTTTCACAGATTTTACTGGGGAGCAGGTTAGATGATCTCACTGTCTCCCTTAATTCCAGTCTTCCTAAGATTAGTGTTTTCTAAGTTTTCTGCAGCAGGAGGAAGTGCTGGTAGCTTGCTAAGGAAGGCCGATTTTCTGCGAGCCTGAGTGGGAAAACTAACGTTTTTAATTGCTAGGTTGGCAGGAGATGGTCGAAGGGAAAGTAAAGGCAGAGCAGAAGTGGCCTGCTTTGTTGGAGGGCTTCCTTATGGGCAGAGAAAGGCTCTGTCTTGAACAGTTTTGAAAGTCAAATGTTCTTTCTTCCACCCAAGATTTACCCTCTTTATTTTTTTAAAAAATGAATTTTTAATAATTTTATATCCTGGCCGGTACCTTCCCTCCCCACCTCCCAGTCCGTCCTCCCCCCCCCGTTCCCACCTCCCAGTCCACTCCCCCTTGACATCTATTTAGGAAAGGGCAGGGCTGATTCTTTTGACTGGCTTGCTGAATGATGGCTTATCCTGTTCAATGTATTCATCTTAAATGGAATTCATCCATTTTCTGATTTTAATGTATTTTATGCATAAACATTCTTAGCAAAACACTGTAGGTATTAATAAGTCCCTCATACACCGTTTAGCTCATGCTCCTTTGAGAATTGTGACGACTTTTGACAAGGAGAATGGATTCTTAAGGCAGCTGTAATTTAATTTAGCTAAATAACTCTGAGTATTAGCATTAAATTTCTAGAGAATAATGATATTTGGAAATTTTTAAAGAGCTAATGGATTTTTATATGTGCTTCAGAAACTGTAAGGCTTATATGGTCAAAGATATCAGATATAACATTGTATTAATATATATCTCATTTCTGATCTTTTTTTTTAATCTTAAGGAATTTGGAATATGTCTGAGTCAAATGGCTGCAAAAGCAAATCAGTGCAGTCTTTTGGAGAAACTGCAGAGCCTTCTGCTTTCTATCCTACTTTAAAACCAGGAGAAAACAATAAGCATTGTCTGTTACTGCTTCTTCCTTCAGTAGATTTTCCCTTTATTCACATTTACTGGTAAATAGGACTTCCCTCCTCTGTCAGTGTTCTTCAGGATAAACCACAGTACACTGCTGATACTTTCCAAGTGTTTAATTTTTAGTGTTTGCTTTTTATAAATCAGCTCAACAACACTGAAACACTGAATGAACGAGAGGCACAGACAGTTGTGAGATGATGCCATATTGGAGATTGCAAGGCGCAAGTGGCCAGCACTTTAAATGACTGTCAGATAAGAGAAAAGAAGCCTGTGTGTTTAGTCCGCTGTGGTCTGGGCTCTGAAGCCAAGTAGAAAAAAGAAGCATGAGACCTTGAGGACCTTAAGGAGCCAGGAAAATAAACCTTCAGTTGGCACTAAAGGTCCAAAGTTATGTGCATGGTGCCTTCTGGGAGCCTGCAGTGACTTCCTAGGCTGAAAGGCTTGCTGCATTCAGAGGGTGTATGATTAGAAAGATGAATTGTGGCTGAGCATGGTGGCATATGCCCGGGGGGCAGAATCAGGTGGATCTCTGTGAGTTTGAGGCCAGCCTAGTCTACTAAGAGTTCCAGGACAGCCAGGGCTGTTACACAAAGAAGTCCTGTCTCGAAAAATAAACAAACAAACAAACAAACAAAAAACCAACCAAAAAAGGGAGGGGAGGGAGGGAGGGAGAGAGAGAGAGAGAGAGAGAGAGAGAGAGAGAGAGAGAGAGAGAGAGAGAGAGAGAGAGAGAGGAGACGAGAGGAGACGAGAGGAGAGGGAGAGAGAGATTGTGATGGCCTTTATATGTGAAACTGAGAATCTCAGTGTCAAAGTCTCTTAGAATCAATCTTGCTTTGTTGCATAGACGGGTTTTAAACTCCTGGTGAGTTCAAATAATCAAGAGGTCTTAACCCCCCCCCTTTTTTTTTTTGGTTTTTTGAGACAGGGTTTTTCTGTGGCTTTGGAGGCTGTCCTGGAACTCGCTTGGTAGTCCAGGCTGGTCTCAAACTCACACAGATCCGCCTGCCTCTGCCTCCCGAGTGCTGGGATTAAAGGTGTGCACCACCAACGCCCGGCCGGTCCTAACCTCTTTTAGTTGCTAGGATTGCAGATGTATGTCACCACACCCAGGTGTTTTCTGTTTGTTTCTTCTTTTAAACTTTAGAATTTTTGTAAACAGGTAAATGTCATGGCTAGTGTAGATTGAAAAATCACAGAACCTCAAGCCCAGTTTTCTCTTATATTCTTTGTCCTTTGCATTAATGGGGGATTATGAGTTGTGGTTGAAGTTCAAGTTTTGCTCTTTTTAGACTCCTACAATTTATAACCGAGCACAGGTCATCTCCATAAGAAAAAGGTTATTAATGTTAACCACAGAGTGTCCAGTAAGCCATAGATGAGATGTTTTGTAGTTTGGGCTTTGATAAAGTCAGCTTAGCTTGAATTCTGGTTAGGCCCTGCTTTGTAAAGTTGAATCAAACCTTTAGCAACCTTTCTGACCTTTACTATCTAGAGAGGGGAGTAGGCAGTAACACCCAGTATTGAATGTGAGCGTTAAGATCACTCATATAAAGCCATTCCCATTGCTAGCAATTACCTTTGCTGCTGTTTGTTATTATTTTCATTATTATGTACTAATCACTATCATCTTGTGTCCACTGACCATGCATTCTGAATTTTGATCATGTATTGTAGGGATGTCTCATCTGATCGAAAGAATCTGTCTCCATTCAAACCTCTTGGTGTTTCCCTTTTTGATATTCAAGTTACCTGGGCTTGTCAGTAAGGGTATTCACAAAACCACAACTCCTGGATGATACAAAGAGGGCTCCATTTGTTTTGGTTTTGTAGAGCTAATGTGTTATTAAGTGTTTTGAATCTTTTGTTAAACAGGTAGATATTCATTATGCTCTAATCTATGGTTATTATACAGAAATTTAGACTTATCTTTACTTTTGTCAGGTTTAAGCCGTTTTTTCCATACCAAGCCTTGCAAGAATTTGAAGAAGATGAAGAACTTATCCATATTCAACAGTGGGCACTTACTGAAGGCCGGCTTAAAGTTACTTTGTTAGAGTGTAGCAGGTATGTCCTTTGTTTTCTCTTTACTCCGTGTGGGCAAGAAAGTATGATAGAAATGTACTTAAAGACTGTTATGTTTATTCTGTTTCTATACTAGTTTATATCGTAGTATTTTATCCTTTAAATAGTTTGAACATAAATCTAATGAAAACAGTGTTTTCCAGTTTGAAGAACACATGGAAATAATTTATTTTGCAATAATCCCCAAATTTTCACATGCGTAGGTGCTATGCTGACATTTTATTGGAGAGTACTTGTAGCATAGCAGTTTTGAGAATTATGATTAATAAAAATGATCACTAAAGCCAGGAGGTGGTGGCGCGCGTGCCTTTAATCCCAGTACCTGGGAGATAGAGGCAGATGGATCTCTGTGAGTTCAAGACCAGCCTGGTCTACAAGAGCTAGTTCCAGGACAGGCTCCAACACTGTCTCGGAAAACAAACAAACAAAATGTTCACTAAAGTGACTAACCCATATTTTTAACCCTGTGCATTTGGAACTAGTCTTTCCTAGCCTCAGTGTTTTACCACCAGAATCCAAGTTGTATTAATTTCTTGCCTAAATTAATTACTACACTAATTTTATCACTCTTAACACTTTTGGTTTCCAGTATGAGAGCCAAAAGGACCTTTAAAATGCAAATCTAACTGTCTCTCTCCTACTTAAAGCTCAGTAGCTTCCCTCTCACTCCTAGGATGGCATCCAGATCTACTCCTGATCTACAAGTGTCCTTTTATCCAGCTTCTTTTCCACTGCCTTCTGTTCAGGCCCTCACTCATAGCGTGTCAGATATACAGGCCTTCTTACGAGAGGGTTTGACAAGACTTCCTTCAAAAAGCTAGGTAGCAAGTATTAGGGGTACTGTGTTTCCCTTGGTGCCTGTCATATCTCCCCAGCTCTGCTGTGTAAGGCAGAATCAGTCACCAGCAACGTAGAAATGAGTGGGCTGAAGTACTGTGATGACTTTTTAACCACTTAAAAATGTAAAATCTATTGATAACCTACATAAACAGTTGCTTGAATTTGGTCCATAGCCTCCCACTTTCAGCCTAGATATCTTTTTTATTTTTTTGAGACAGGGTTTCTTTGTGTAGCTTTGGCTGGCCTAGAATTAGCTCTGTAGACCAGGCTGGCCTCGAACTCAAAGAGATCCGCCTGCCTCTGCCTCCCTAATACTGGGATTAAAGGTGTGCGCCACCACCGCCCAACTAGCCTAGACATCTTAAAGGATAGCTCCTTACTGCTTGTCACCTGCCTTCTTGGCCCATATTGTCTCATGCTTTTTGAAACTAGCCTGTCTTGGTACACTCAAAAGCTACCTTCTTAATGTCTGCTCAGCATTCTAAATTCAGTATACTGTCCTCCAGGCTTACATTCTTGTGACACTTGATTATACGACTATTTAATCACTTTCATATTTTATTTCCAACTCATAATACAAATAAGCACTTGAGTTATATTTTGTTCCTAATACAGTTGAGTCTTGCAAATAGATTCATTCTGATTATACTGATTATGTAATAACTCATTTTTGCTGGAGTTTTTCTTGTCCTGCCAGGTCCCTCGACTGCTTGGCCCCCAATGAACACACAGACGCTACATTAGTTATAAAACTGTTGGCCAGTGTCTAGGGCTTCTTATTGGCTAGCTCTGTCTTAATTATTAACCATTTCAACTAATTTATGTATTTCCACATGGTTTTGGCTTACTGGAGAAGGGTCCAGACCTGTTATTCCTTTGGCAGCTACATGATGTCTGTCTCTCATGGTCTCCCTCTGCCTACTTTTCCCAGAATTCTCTTCGTCTCCTAGTCACGCCTAACTTACTGCCTCTATTATACAATTTTATTCATCAATCAATTAAGAGAAACACATATGCAAGAAGGACATCCCCATCAACTCATTTTTTTAAGTCCTGTGGTTACTGAGGATTGTGCTTCATTCTGTCAGAAAGTCTTGACAGGAGTCTTTAACTGAAAAAGGGAGGCCAAATATGCCACATGTGTCATAAAAGGAACCATAGTATACACTAAAACAGACACAGTAGGTATGAGGCTAGGTATTTAGAAAAACAATTATTTCTTCTGCCCCAGTGCTCCTGGGGGTCTCAATGGTTGATTATGTGTCTGTTAGCTTGTGGTCATTGACTGTGCCTTTGTTCACATTCCTGCTGTGCTTAAGCAGCTGTTCACTTAAAGCCTTGCTAAGGAATCAAAGGCTGTGTTAGGCATTGAGAAAGAATAGGTGGGCATTAATATAGGCCATCTTGAATCGAAATAAATGATACAAAGGAAAACATTAGGATTTGTGGAATATTTGCAACCTTCTGTATTTTAATAAAGAACGGCTTGCTGAATCTCAGAAAGAATATAGAAGACTTATTTAGGGAAGTGTAGGGGAACTGGGCTTATGATAAGGGCCAGGGTCAATGTGACAGCCTAACTCTTCACTATACATGTTTTTATATTGCATTTTTGTGACTCTGTCACCTGTCAAAAATTAGATTGGAAGTTTTGTTTGTCTGTTTTTTTGTTTTTTGAGACAGGGATTCTCTGTGGCTTTGGAGCCTGTCCTGGAACTAGCTCTTGTACACCAGGCTGGTCTTGAACTCACAGAGATCTGCCTGCCTCTGCCTCCCAAGTGCTGGGATTAAAGGTGTGAGCCACCACCGCCTGGCAGGTTGGAAGTTTTATGGAGTACAGAATTGACTTAAAAGAGAAAGTAGGGAAAATAGTTTATTTTATCAGTGTTCTTATGTTAGCTCTGTGTGCTTGGGATAGTAACCAATATTTTTAAGCAGGTGGTAGCTTCATATTTGAAATGTGTATACCATCAAAATAATTTTCTAGGTATTATTTTTATAAGTGCAAACAGATAAATTTTAACCTTATGATAAAATGTCATTATTCACATAATTTAAGGATTAATTAGAGTTTTTATATAAGGGAGAAAATAAGTTGTTGTTCTCAACTCATCCTAGTATTTTTGTCTCAAAAGACTGGCATACACAATAGGGATGAGTTGGTTCAACAGTGGCTGGCTGTACACTAGAGATGCTAAGATTTGTGCAGTTTCTCGGTCTATGAGGCTGGCTGACACTGAAGACCTGACATTCAGTCTGTGTTGGAAGGCTAAAGAAGCTGACTTCTGATGCCAGCAAAGGATAACAGCATAGGATAGGTGTTCTCACCAGTAGGGAGTAAAGGCAGGCAGGCAAGCAAAAGCAGTGTTGTTTTTCACCTGTATCTCTTTACATATAGGCTGCTATGGGAAGGTGTTTCCTACCCTGAGAGAGTATCTTTCCCACTCAGTCGGTCCTCAGGAAATAACTTTATAGACCCACACAGAAGTGTGTCTTAGAGGATCCCACATTCAATTAAGTTGGCAGCCAAGATTAACTATTACATATATTCTATTTTTTAAAGATTTATTTATTTTCATTTTATGTGTGTGAGGATTTTGCCTGCATGTATGTAAGTGAACTGTGTGTGCCTGGTGCTGGCAGAAGCCACAAGAGGATTCTGGATCCCCTGGAACTATAGTTAGGAACAGTGAGCTGCCATGTGATGCTGGGGCCTGAACCCAGGTTAGAGAAACAGCAGTTTCTCCTAAGCACTGAGCCATCTCTCTGCCCACCTTCCATTCTTATTAAAGCTTAGATTGTTCCTTAGTATAGATTTCCTTTTACTTAATATAAAAGTAGAACTTTCTATTCAGATAGGGTTTGTGTGATTCAAACTAAAGGAATTCTCGTATTATTTCAATCTTGTTCAATATAAAAATCACAGTTTATTATTATCTCTGAAACAAAATGACAGCAAAGGAGTAAAAGAAAAGAACAATGAAAGTGCATCTTTTATAGAAGACAGCCCAGAAAATACTTACAATTTTACATTTAGAGATGATATAAAGGCCTAACACCTTTTGAGATAATTTTCACCATAATTATTTAGTGATACGAAAAAGGTTGTAATGAATAGAATATTCAAAAAAATTTTAAATGCAAGACAATTAACTAAAAGTGTTTTTGTAGACCATTTGGATATAGATAGCTAAAGTTCTAAATTGGCTTGCTTTTGCTGGGGTTTTAGTACTTACACACACACACACACACACACACACACACACACACACACACCAATAAATAAATACAAAGAAAATCTTCCACTAATTTTCCTCCTAATCTCTGGAATGGAATATGATACTCATTATCTATGGTCAACCATGGCTCTTGTAAAGACTTTATTTTTTAAACTGTTCACTTTGAAATAGTGAAAAAGTTATGTGTGAATAGTACTTATACATTTCTAGCTATTTATTTTGAAATCATTTTAGACTTAAGAGCAAGCATGAAGTTTTTTTTTAAAGATTTATTTATTGATTACATATACAGTGTTCTGCCTGCATGCCAGAAGAGGGCACCAGACAGATTGAATTGTAGATGGCTGTGAGCCACCATGTGGTTCCTGGGAATTGAACTCAGGACCCCTGGAAGAGCAGTCATTGCTCTTAACCTCTGAGCCATCTCTCCAGCCCCCAGCATGAAGGTTTTTATCCAACTAATATGCTAAAAGATTTGAGATAAATGAAAATTTTAAGATATACTTTTTTAAAGGTGTATGAGTGGTTTGCCTGCAGTATTTATGTGTATTATGTGTGTGTCTGATACCTGCATAAGTCAGAAGAGGGTGTCTGGTCTCCTTGGGACTGGAGTCAGAGATAGTTGTAAAACTCAAGTGTAGTTATGTTAAGAAGGTAAATTTCCTCAAAAACAGCTGTGTAGAGATCAATTTCCCTGATACAAATGAAATTTAATGAATTTTTTAGTTTGTTTTTTTAAAATTTAACTTTTTTAACTGACAGTGTTTATCTTATGTAACATGCTTTAAAATACGCATACATTATAGAGCTACTAAATGGAGATAATTATTTTCCTGAAGTTCACATTTTTTTTTTTTATAAATTACACGTGTTGAAGAGAAAATGATTCTGGCTCTAAATTCT